AGTTAATTATGCAACTTCAGGGCGTTCCCACGACAATCTGATCTACGCTCCGGAACGACCAATTCAGCAATTCATGTCGGCAGCTTTGCTCGCCATTCTTTTAATCCGTGCCGGCGTTGAACAAAACCCAGGCCCTGTTGTCTGGTTTTGTTCAGTGTGTCATCAACGCATCGCGGCAAATTCCACCTCTGTGCGATGCAATGTTTGCAACAAATGGTGTCACCTGAGGAGGTGCTCAGGTCTCACCGCGACTGGTCACACATCTTCATTGCCAGCTGTTGCCTGCAGCCTTCGACATCTAGCACCTTAACTCCAACAGCCCCGAGAAATTCCATCCCTTCTAAGCAACCTGCCCAGAACTCCAAGTGGAACTGTTCGGTTTGCGGGGAAATCATACGGAGAAATATGGCATCTGTAAGGTGCAATGATTGCAGAAACTGGTGCCATATGAGAAGATGTACCACCCTGCGTTCACACAGGAATTGGAATCCAGGGTTTGTAGCCGATTGCTGCACAAACAATCCAGCAATATCCGCTAGAATCCAGTGGAGTCCTTCCAGTACTACGGCTAGCACTCCGTCTAGTTCTCCATCCAGTAGTACGACCACTAGTGCTCATACTGGTAGTGAAGTTAGTTCTTCTACTAGCTTCTCTTCTTATTCTACGGCTAGCACTTCGTCTAGCGATTCATCAAGTAGAATTCATTCTAGTGTTCCGACTAGCACTCCTTCTAGTCATCCTATTCCAACAACGAATGCTCAAAACTTCCCATCCAGACAACAGCGTTGCAGGTTTTCCGTTCGCCGAATAACTCCACCCGCCTGCCTCCACAGCAGCAGTCCATGCAGGGGAGTGATCCAAATACCTCATTCCTAATCATGCAATTTAATTGTAATGGTCTTAGGAATAAGGTAATTGAGATCACAAACTTTATGCATGAAAACAACATCCTCATTGCTGCCTTGCAAGAAACGAAGCTGACCAGTAGTTGTTCCTTATCCTCCTCCGGGAATTACAATATCATTCGGCGAGGCAGAGATAGAGACCATGGCGGGGACTCGCATTCATCATCCAGCGGGATGTCAGATATACTCTGACTACCCCTCCGTCTCCTTCCCAATCTGATCCTTTCCTGGAGGTTTTGAGCATTTCAGTTCATTCCGACGATGCTGAAATTGAAATTGTCAATGTATATATTCATCCAAGCATCATCCATCTGCTGCAGGGAGATAATAAACTTGTTCTTGGCGATTTCAACGCTCATCATGAGATATGGTATTCTCAACTTCCAAATGATCCTCGCGGTGTTCTTATTGCAAACCAGATAGACGAGTCCGATTTCGCTTCCATCAATGAGGAATCCTCTACCAGAGCCACTGCCAGGTGTTCGAGCTCTCCGGACATTTCCATCGTCAGTCCATCGCTCCTTCCATATACTTCCTGGCAAACCAAGGTCGCTTTAAATTCACACCATATTCCTGGTCACGGTAGAGAATCCCAGCGATTTCGTGGAGCCCGATCAGCGTAATTTCATAAATTATAATAAAGCCAAATGGCACGGCTTCACAAAATTCATTGATTACTCCTTAAGTCCTATGCCGCCACCCATATGTGCCAGAAAGGGTGAGAAGATTTTCCGAGAAATTATTCAAAAAGCGGCAAAACGCTTTATTCCTGCGGGCAGAATTCCTCTAATGAGACCAAATTATCCATACAGGGCATCCAGATTGGCACAGCAACGCGACCAACTCCGTGCCGAAAGCCCCGCTGACGACAGAATTCCGCATCTTAGCGCTGAAATAGATGCTCTAGTCCTTGAGCACAGGCGCTCTAAATGGTTAGAACACTTTAACTACTGCAACATAAATTCCAAGCAGATATGGTCCACAATTAAGAGTCTATCTGGTTCCAAAAGAAATAAAAATCTCCCAGCTATTTCCTTCGATAACATTCAACATTCCGATGCCAAAAAAATGTGCAATGCAGTTCTGCCGCCAATTCATTGAGCATCCATCTTCGCAGAACAGGACCAAGCGAGCAATTATCCGGAGATCCAAGAATCTTAAAAGAGACTTGCAGCCACTATCAATTACATCCAGCGAGGTAGAGGCAATTATCTCCAAATCCAAACCATCCAAAGCCCTTGGTCCAGACGGCATATCCATGCTCATGTTAAAGAAGCTTGGAGCAATAGGGCTGGGCTATCTGACCAAAGTCCTCGAGTTATCGATGTCACAGTTGGTAATTCCTGACATTTGGAAAGTTGCCCGGATTATTCCAATCCTAAAACCTGATAAATCCGCTACTAATGGGGAATCCTACCGCCCAATTTCTCTTCTGTCACCAGTAGCCAAGGTTTTAGAGTCTCTATTGCTTTCGTCCCTGAAACAGCATTTCGTTCTTGCTCCCCACCAACACGGTTTCAGGGAATCATATAGCACAACTACGGCTTTGCAAGAAATTACTTCCAAGATTGCGAATGGCCTCAATCAGCGACGACCACCTGAACGGACCATTGTGGTAGCTCTAGATCTGTCCAAGGCGTTTGATACGGTCGATCATTCCGAGCTGATTTCCGATATCGCAAATTCCACCCTTCCGTGTGATATCAAACGTTGGCTTGCCAACTATTTTAATGGGCGGCAGGCCTTCTTTGAGTTCAATCTAGAACTTGACATTTCCGTTGAAGGTAGGCGCATCCCCACCGTCCATAATCCGAAAATCCTTGGGGTGGTCTTCGATAGCCTCCTTCATTTCTCCTCGCATTCCAATTACATCAACCAGAAGGTGAAAGCTAGGAACAAAGTTCTGAAAGCTTTGGCTGGCACCTCCTGGGGCAAGGATAAAGAAACATTGGTAACGACTTATAAGGCTATAGGTCGTTCCGTCCTGAATTATGCTGACCCAGTCTGGACTTCTTTCCTTAGCGACACACAATGGAGATCACTGCAAACATCCCAAAATAATGCACTCCGAATTGCAACCGGGTGTGTCCAGATGACGAGCGTCGATCACCTCCATGAGGAGACCAGGATGCTGTCAGTCAAGCAACATAAAGTGTTGTTGACTAGACAGTTCCTGCTGGCATACTATCTGCCGTGTCATCCTAACCATCACACTGTGATGGCAGATCCACCTCCGCGACACATCTGCCAGGACTTCAGGCGCTATCGTGATGGCATCCAAGACGTCATTCTATCGGATGTCAACAGATTGTCGATAGCGAACGCGATGAAATCCGTGCATCAACTGGCGGTCTCCTATGCCATAAATGGCAACAGATGCAATAAAGTCCTACAACAACATCCTCCTGCAATTTCGGAGAGTGAGAGGCTTCTTCCTAGGCAAACCCGTTCAATTCTGTCACAACTAAGGTACGGATATAGCAATGTACTCAATTCGTATCGAGAGCGCATTGTCCCCGAACCCTAAACAGGTGTCCTTCCTGCCAGCAAAGACCTCACGACACACACCATTTATTCAATTGTCCGTCCGAGCCTACGAGTCTATTGCCCATAGACTTATGCTAAAGCCAATAGAGGTGGCACAATTTCTCCGGCTACCCTCTTCAAATCCGAATTCCTAATTAATTAAATAATATATTTTCTTTTCCTTCTTCCGTTTTCTTCTATCAACATTTTTCAGGAAAGAACTTTCGTCAACAGCCAACCTGTTACAACAACAACTTCAGGGTAAAACATCGTATTTTAATTAGTAGTGGAGACCATTTAGAGCTCTATATCTCAGTAATTATTCAACATATATAAAAACTTAATGACTGATTATTGTCGTCAGATACTTAATTATAAAAAATAGTACCAAAAAGATGTCATAAATTAGTATTAGTTAAACATTTTTACAGTTTTGTAAAAAAGTCAAATTCGCACCATAGTCATAGCTTGGTAATTATCACTGCTATCACTCTGGTTGAAATTCAGATCTTATAAATGTTCTATTTTGTTTTAATGTGCGACTCAAAGTTTTACTTTTAAGGCCACATTTTCTAGCGGGGGACGTTGACATCTCAAGGTCACACTCACCATCAGAAATAGGTTTTTTTCTATCACATTTTTGTCAATACAAGCACGATTGGTCTTATATATGTAATTTCGAACAATATTAAAAGAAAATTGTTAAGAAAACTCAAAAACATTTTAAGAAAATAATATTGCACTATCTGTATATGTCGAAAAATGGAATTTTATAAAAAAATATTTCAGAATTATAAACGCTTAAAATATGCCCCATGTACAAAAGTATGTTCAAAATATTACCCTCCCATGTCAAAAGCCTAACACAACCATCGAATTCTCATTGTGTCATAATTATATGTTTCGTTTTTTTTTTTTGTCGGTGTCCCCAAAGTTGATGGTTTTGTGGAACCCCACCAAAACGCCGCATTACCCTGTAGGACTTTCATCAACTACTTTACAAAATTTTTAGTTATAAAGAAAAAACTGATTAAAAATTAGGTAGAAAGTCATCTAACACTCAACGACATTGAAACGAAAAATATGTTCGTATCATCAAAAACATAACACACCCAAAACAAGAATCCGGTTTCTAACGGTCGTAAGAATTGCATACAAAAAATACAAAAGAAAAATTGGTCAAAAATAACTAGTTTTTAACCATTTGAAAAGTAACAGACTATTGCCCCGCTCATCGCCTTGTAAAAATAGTCTGGTGGTCCAAAGGAAAATATTCGAAAATGTACTAGTAATGACTATTTTAAAATTAGTTTAAAGTTAGCTTAAAACTGGATCATTTTCCTACAGGTTAGGCACAATGTAACGACTATTTTTTATCTCCAATATATCATAACATAGAGGGTTTAAACAGTTCCTTCTATACACCAAGTATTCCCTATTGCATACTAATTATTGGTATTTAAGAGGAGGTCAGATATTCCGCTTCTCCAACCGTTTCTATTCGAATACTACGTAAAAATATTCATTGAGCTTTAATAATTAGTTTAATCTCCAACTATTTTCTTACAGATCCTTTTTATATAACAACGAAGATGACTTGTTTTTTGTTGTGCAAGACGGTTCACTACTTGTGATGGACTCACATGCAAATGAAACGTACTCCATGGAAAACAAGTATTGTCTTGATATAGAGAATTCATCGGGGACTACATATGCCATCGTGTGCATTACTGCGGTCCAAGACCATATCAATCGCAGTCAAATACTAATTGTCGGCATTCTAATGCTTATTTCTATACCGTGTCTTTTATTGGTATCCTATGTTCATTTTCGGATAAAAGAATTGAGGACATTACATGGAATGACGTTAAGCATTATGTCGTTTTGCTTAGCCACTGGTTATTTTCTTTATTCCTTAGTACATCTTTTTAAATTGGATGACCGCAATATTGGATATGCTGTTCAATTTTTCGTACTGTCATATTATTTTTGGTTTTTCTGTCTTTGCTGCAATGTATGCTGTAATATCTGGTAAGTATAAATCGCAGAGGAAATGTCAACTCCTTATTATCAACAAAAATCAACCGTTTCTACACAAATATGTATTCGAACGAAAGTTTAATCAAAGAACACGTAAAGGTAGACCTGTGGCATATTTATACAAGGTAGTCTCATGCAGTGATATGTTTCCAATTTTTTCATAAATTTGTTTTTGACAACATTCAGATTTCAAAGTTTAAATGAGAATACATTCCCACGAAATGTACGCACATCATGGGTTCAGTGGTAAAAATTGCTAAATCATTTACAGTCGAATTCGGATAAGCGAACACCTGTTTATAGAAAAAATTGGTTAATTGAAACTAAAAATTATAAACTAATATTTCGGATGAGTTTTCACGTGTGGCTTCTACTGCCATAAATAAAATAAATATACGCAACAAGTGTTTGTGTTATTTGTCATTTTTTCAACACAAAACTAAAAACGCGAAAAATGAATGAAAGGTTATGATTTCTTCCAAAAATCCAGTAGGGAATACCATCATCTATAACAAAGTAATTAATTCCAGACGAACGTGTTAAAAAAATAATTTTCATTTCTATTAAATATGAATAGATATCAATTTATTTGACATAGTATTCAAAACAATACACACACATACACAAAATATGTATTTTGATTTGATGGAACAAGCTACCTTGAGAAAAAATTGTAATCAGTTGGTAGATGTGCCCTACCTTATAATAATTATACCAGGGTTCTTACTCAATTCATTTTATGATTTATTAATTTCATGATTTTTCAGATATTGATTGAAAACTTCGTTTAAGCGCAACGAGTTTCAATTATCCGAAGTTCTTTTAATTGTAAATCCTGCATAAAAGAAAACAATTTACTGAAGTAACGCGTTTTCGCTTAACCGAATTCGACTGTATATGTATTAATATTTTGTAGTTCCCGGCCTCTCAAACCTATAAATATAAGTTGTCACCCATAGTTAAATCTTGAGGACAACGTACAGCATTAGAAAATATATGTATTTTTTCATTTATTGCCAATCGACATACATAAATGGTCTGTTGCAGTACTTTTTTAATAGTAAATCTAGTAAAAGGGAAACATTTCAAAATTGCTCTCAGGGTACAAAATAATTTGGAAAGTTCGGGAACTAGTAAATATGCCAAAATTAGATGGCAATACTTCAAAATCCATGAAAACAAATGCAACAAATGTTAGTGGTCTTTTTGACGAATACTAAATTATTTTATTAGACCAAAACTTCTAATTTTGTAAAAAAATTTCATTACAATCGCTGAAAATAATTTTATTGGTCGCATTTTAAGTATTCGCGTCAGGTATTCGACGTTATGTCTTATCCTCTAAAGAACCCATGCTGTTGGATATTAAATCTCATATTCATATTTGTCAACAAAGTGCAATATTGCTTCATATAGTATTTTCGACGACAGCTTGAGGCTACACAAAAATGTGGACTTATGTAACCTTCAACTACAATTTATTGAAATGTTTCCTACTAATTGCAAATCAAACTGCTCGAAAAAGTGAGAATATCCCAAATCCGAATCGAACTTTAGTCCAACTTTTTTTACCCTTAACTGTCAAAAATTGTCAACTTAATTGTCATCTTATCATTAGAAATCTAAACACTCCGAATAATTAACAAATCGTTTTAAAATACAATCTACCTTTAACTCAGTGGAATCCATAATCGGGGAGATGTATGGAGGAAATTGTTTTCCACTAAATGATACAACTGTTTTCAGTACCAAATATTCAATATTTTAATTGCAACATAAAATATTGCGAGTTATGTACGGATTTCAACAAGGCCTAAGCCAGTAAGCGAATTCATAGAGAAAACTAAAGTTTAACGTAAATTTTTTTGCGAGGCGAAAACTAATTGTTTCGCCTTTAAATAAAAAACACAACACCAAGGTATATTTAATAAGGTAGCCGCATCGGGCCAGCTGTTGGACAAATAAATGTCAAAAATGTTGTTGTAATGTTGAACCAAAAAATTAAAAAACAAAATTATAAATGAAAATCTCCGAATTTCTAATAGCTTTTTTGGCAATACTTTTATTAACAGTTTCTACAAGAATTTGTGTAAAAAAATCTTGCCAATCTGTTTGTTTTGGCAAAATATTTTTGACATATCAAAATACAACAACCGATGTTTGTTGTAGAAATTCGCCGATGCGGCTACCTTGTATATCTACCTTGCACAACACGATACAAGGTATATTTAATAAGGTAGCCGCATCGGCCCAGCTGTTGGTGCAAATAAATGTCAAAAATGTTGTTGTGATGTAGAACCAAAAAATTAAAAAAACAAAATTATAAATGAATTTTTGAAAAGCTTATTTGACAATATTTTTATTAACGTTTTCTACAATAATATGTGTAAAAAAATCTTATGATTTTGTTTGTTTTGGCAAAATATGTTTGACATATCAAATTACAACAACCGATGTTTGTTGTAGAAATTCGCCGATGCGGCTACCTTATATATCTACCTTGGTACGATAATTTACTTGAAAATCTTCTTTAAACTCTTGAAATAGTCCAAATGTGCTTCACAAAGGCGATATAAATTAAAATTTAATTGAATGTTGACAAAATATTAATATTTTCGTTTTGACGTCTAACATAATTTTGTATGTATGTATAGATTTCAAAATACGAATTGACAGCAAACTTTATACTCACTTGTGCTTACTGTCCGACCTTATATAGGCCTTGGATTTCAATATAAAAACCAAAACGATGAACAAAATGCAATATCAAAACTTGAAAAATGTTTGGTGGAATAATTGATATGTTGAAATACAACACATACTAATGTATCTTAATATTAAAAATTAAAATTTATAATTAAAATAATTAAAATTTAAAAATTATAGTGAGTCTGCATTAAATGTGGAATCTTGCTCTATGTAGGTTCACAATAACGTGGAAAATATATTAATATTATTGCGAAAAATTAATGGTAAATAGTTTCTCAAATATCCTTATCCTTAATTTTTACCAAACCTTGCATTTATGATGATATGTCATGGTATAATAATAAAAGTTAACAGCAAGTGTTGTTGTACAAAAAACGATACAACAACCACATGGAAATTTGTTGTTGTAAGTTCTACTAGTGTCAACTCATTTGACAGAAAAATGTAAACAAACAAACAAATTATCATCAAATTATTTTTATTTTGAAAATTAAATATTTTCGAATACTTAAAATAAAAATTGAAAAACATGAATAAAAATCTATCAAATTTATATTTCTATCGCTTCCACATTGTTCCTTTAATTGAGCCATTGCCATATATATGTGTAACACATATGAAAATGCTGGGAATAGAGAGTAATTCCTTCAAGAAAGATTTGCTTCACATAGACTACATAAATGATTTTGTGTATTTTAAAGGTTTTGTCAAATGGCCCAATTGGAGAACATTTAAATTTTTAATTTACATATTAAATTTTTGCCAAAAATACCAAATTTATATCGATAATTTTATGCAAACAACAATTTTTCAAAAGAGAATGAACGATAAGATTTTCTATAAATTGGTTAAATTAAATTTTGTTTATTAAATTTGTTAACAAAATAAAAGTTTTCCATGAAATATAAAAAATTACGTTTTTCTATTGTTTCCCCTAAAAATCTTTTAAACTAATTGTCTCCATAGGAATATTTAATATTGATCAAAAAATTTAGTATCCAAATTGTTTCTACACTATCGTTTTTACAGGATCCACATTTCAACAAACAAAAGGAAAACACAAAATGTAAGGTTATTGTATATGGGAGTATATTGTGTTACATCCTTTACTGGATCTTTAATATTGGTTACACTCACAAACCAAAAGGGACTTCCTGGAATGCCGTCATACTTCATACAAGGCTACACAGAATGTAAGTATAATCCTATTATTACATTTTTACTATATACTAATATCTTTTTAAATGTTCAGCCATAAGGGAGTCGCAGCGATACTTCATTCCACCAGTGTCTACCTTATTACTTCTTAGCTTTTTTGTTATGACAGCGACATTCTTCGGATTTCAGAAATATAAAAAACGTGGCGTATGTGTGGCAACCAAGCAGAATTCTGATATTGACCCACCTAGTGGTATAAAAATTTACGAAGAAGTTAAAAAGGAGTATGATTTTTTAATCTGTGAAACTGTTGTCGGAATTTTTAATAACATATTTTTTTATAGTGCCAAATGTATCAGTTTACTCGGATTAATACTTATATCGACTTGGTTGTTGGAGATTGTTACATTTTACTCTCCTGGTCCACAGATATATTTAATATTGATGGACATGATAAATGGTCTGCAAGGTGTATTTGTTCTACTTATATTTCTAGTTATTCGCAGAAGAAGAACTGTAATTTTCCGATGGTGGAATGACAGAGGGTCATATGTTGTTGAAAAGGTTGAGTTGGATACCCTTAATTAGCATATACACAATTCCAAACAAAATATATGACAATAGGATATGGTTCAATTTTTATGTAAAATATATAAATAACTGCACTGTAAAACTGCGTGAACTCAAAAAAAAATACTTTGAATTTGTGATTTTCTAGGTAAGTTTTAAGGCTATCAACATTTATTTATTTTTTTTTTCATATTAAAAAAATACACGTTGCGGAGCAACGTAAATAAATAAAACACAATAGTTAGATTTTTTTCAAAAAAAACTGAAGGTTTTATTGTTTTAATATTCATCGAAGAACAAATATATGATACGAAAAACAAATGGTGGTTGATGAACCATCAAGGCAATAAAATATTGACTTCAAAACCTTCAGACCTGGGGTCTCGACTTAGGTCGATTATCTCGGACAACCTCACACTGGTCAAGGACCCGATACCACCGAACCAAATAATGTAAGTCGAGCCCCTTGGGTACACGTCAGGGCCAAAAATTAGGCCTATGCAAGCGAACTTACGAAATAAAGTCTGAAGGCGATTACCAAAAGGCGACCACCCGCTCTAAGGACATACTCCGTGCGGAAAAACGAAGAACTTGCGTCGGATCATGACATTACTGTTGAGTCAATTCGCAGAATAAATCCTGATCAAGGTTTAATGAATTTAGCTGGAGTTGACTAGTCAGGCTATTATCCCGATGAGGAGCGACGTTTCCGCAGGAAAAATGCCTCTATACGCCAGACTTTTTGAATGACCAAATTGTTTTGAAAATTCTAGTATACACACTGAATATATACAGCGGCAAGTGTAGACTTTTTACTTGGCGCTTTTGGTGTGATTCAAAGAAGCTTTATCAGCCAGACGAATATTTGACAAACGGGCAGACCAGAAATAGCGAGAAAAACTAATACAGAAATGACCATGTTTTGGAGTGGTGTAAATTCCAAGAATTCGTTGTAAGGATTCAGTTATGAATGACGCTTTAGGAGCTATGTAAATTAGGTCACGAGATGCCTTGACGAATGAGATGCACAATCGCTGTACCCAAAATAAAATTTTTGTTTTGCGAAACATGATACACTTGTATATTACCAAAGTGAGATATACTTCGAGGGTATATCTGCATTCACATAGTGCGATTGAGCAGAAGGTGGATTATAAGCCGTTTGCGTCGATGTCGTCACGATGTAAAAGTGTGTGATGTCGTTAGTTTCATTTTGCACAATTATGTTTTCTTACACATTTCAACGAACAACGATTAATACAATAATCGAAGTGTTTTAAAACTGAAAACGACCATCAGTAGATAACTTTTTGAATGCCGGGCAAAAACGCAAAAGGATGTACCAATTTAGGATATAGTACACAAGATTGGAATGAACGCATCTTTCTTTTCAATCTTTTTCGAGGAAACCACGGATATCTCGGAGAAATATCCTTTCTTCCCAGTCGTTCGTATGAACGTCATAGATCGGCATTGGCGAAATACAACGATTTAATGTTCGATGAATCGTCTTCGAAACCAACACAAGACTTATTATCGAGGACAGGAAGATCAAACAAGTTAAGTTGGTTATTAACCACAATTTGGACATTGTCATAGGTCTCCTTTAAAGCCTGCCAACGCTAATGTAAAACTTTTGTGTGTCAAAGGCAACTTTGAAATTATGTCTTTTGGCTCACCACTAATTTTTTAAGCAAATGAGTTTTATCCATTATCCAGAACGAATTCTCCAACTCTGGACTGATTTCCTTCGAAAAACTTTTTGTAAATAATTTAAATATGTCTGCATTTATACGGTTTTTTACTGCTGCAATTAGAGCGGCATTACGACCTCTGACCGTAGGCAAAACAATGTGTGCTCTTGCGACTTGTCTTTAACGGGCTTACGGGGTTTTTCGTAGGTGAAGATTAAATAAACATTCGTCAATGAATATTAATTTTGTAAAGTCTTGAGCATATTTTTGTCTCAAGTCTAATGTTACGGACTCATTCCTTCTATTTCAATAGAGGGCATCCCAGTTTGTATTACAATTTATTTAGTTTTATGTATATCAATAGTGAACATACCTCAAAATTTCTTAACGTGTAATATGGGTATATCTTAAGGTAAGGTCACACTAGGCAAATATTGGACTCAAATGTCTCATATTTTGTTTGCCCAAAAAAACGTCAAATTTGTGCACTCCTGATTTTGTGTTCACATTGCACTCAAATATTTGACACAATTTGTTTGCTCAAACAGCAGGCAAATAGTGTCAAATAATGAAATGGGAAAACATGTTTGACGTGTGGTCACATTTGGGCAAATATTTACACAATAAAACAGTTTGATCAAACTGTCAAAAAACAAAAAAATATTTGCTCGATATTTTCCAAGTAATTATGGAAGGAGAAGCGTTAATTATTGTATTGGACGAAAATAAAGTTAAAAAAATAAGAAAATACCGTGGGTTCGTGAATGAGTGCGTGATTGTGTATGTTGTAAGGCCATACAAGAATATTCTGTGGATTCTGTTCAAAATTTCCCTTCAACTCGTCGCTCGGAAAGTGGTTATAGTAGTGATATTGATTAATTTCGTTAAAGTCGGTGAGATCCACGTGGACGTGGACGAAGCTGCAGTGGTGGCGGTAATGGTAGTGGAAATCAACATTACAATCAAGGTCGTCGTGGTGGTGGAGCAACAGCAGCAACAAAATCAACAGCCAAGAGCAAGACTTAATAAAAATTGCCAACAAGCTATATTTTCCAATATGTTAATGAGGATTTTTTCATGAGAATACAATATAAATAGAAATGGAGATGAATTTTATAAAAAATATAAGCAAAATAAAAATTATTTATTATTTATTTGACGCCGAAAATCACTTTATGTAAAGCATATATATCAATCTCTAGGGGTGTCTTATTTGATGAGTGCGAACTTGAAGTTCTTACTGCAGGTGCTGTTGGTTTATTTAAGGCTCTGGGATTAACCAAAATACACTTCATTGGTTGGCCATCTAATTGACGATTGTGATAAGTATCTACAGCCTTCTCGGCATGAGCCAATGACTTATAAATAATTTCAGCTACACCAGGCCGAACAATTCGCGAATCATACAATTCACCAATATCTTCGAATAGTTCCTTAATATCCGATTGTGTTACACTGGGATGTAAATGACTAACAAATATACGATACCCTGATGACGACGACGATGATGATGACAATGATTTGGACAGACCACCATATGATGACGATGAACCATTTGGTGGTGATGGTGGTGTCAGGTGATTCAAACCACCAGCATCGGCTGCAAGTTTACCACCAACATCACCGCCACCCAATCGACTGTATTTAAAACTGCTAGCCTTATATGGTGCCTTCCACACGATCAAATCCTGTTTCTGTGACAACTTCTTGCGTACATCACCATTGTTACGGGTTATTTCGATCAATTTCTCTCTGGCATCACGAATTTTGGCACGATTTTTCTGTATGATTTTCATACGAGCATCTGTAATGCGAGCAGCCTCTTTAAATGCCGGCCTATTTAATGTTTCCCTCAATGGTGGTTTCTTCACAGCCAATCGTTTGGATGGGGCCACAGCAACTTTCTTGTTCTTTATTATATAATCTAGGCTCATATCCATCTTGAATGGTTTCTATTTCTATGGAACAGGAGTTTTTTGTGTTTGAATATAACGGAAAATTGAGTTTTAAGATTGAGGTTGTGAGGTAATAATAATAAATACACGCTGACAACGAGGTATGCATCAGCTGTTATTTTCCTTTGTTTGCTCTTACACAAATAGTGTAAGGGCAAATAAATGTTTGCCCAAAAATAAGACAAATGTTTGCTAGTCGGCGTTCACATTGTGGGCAAGTCACTCAAAATTTTATTTGCTGTCAAATAATTTTGTTTGCCTAAAATCAGCTGTTTTTATGTTTGCCATTGAAAATATTTTGTGGTCAGATTATGGCAAAGAAATATTTGACACTTTTCGTCAAATATTTGCCTAGTGTGATCTTACCTTTAAGAACGGTTACAGATACCGTCTTCAAAATCTGTCTGAATAACGTAGGCGTATATACACATCATCCATTCAAAAATGAGCGCGGTACGATTGGAAATAAATGCACTCCCGTTGTACTTAAATAATCTACATATATAGAATAAAAAATTTTGTTTGAAGAGTCAAAACCCGCTAAAGAGATTTTACTGAGATTTTTACAGTACCTCATGCTATCCGATAGAAGTAACATATGCTAGATAAAATTCTAAAATTCAGCTTGGGTGTGAACTTATAGCTCCAAAAGCAATCACACATATTAAATAATGTACCTAATCTTATATCTTAAGAAGGGTTACAGATTTCCACTTCAAAATTTCTCCAACTATCTTCCTTACAAATACGCATCATCCCTATAAAAATTAGCGTGGTATAATGGCGGTAATGTACTTCCCATTGCATTACATCTATCTATACATATGAAATAGACAACAAAATCGCTAAATAGACTGCACAGAAAATTTCGCAGTCAGTCATGGCATCGCATTGAAGTAAGATATGCAAGATAAACTTCCAAATATCCGGGATGTCGATAGCATCAACAGTTGCCATACCTCTGAACTAATATTCGTTTTCTATGCCTGCCATCACTGGGAGGAGTGACTCTAACCCTTTCTGAAGAAGCAAAGTACCTTGGCACCATCCTTGACCGCAAACTAATGTGGAATAGGAATGTTGAGGAACGCTCTAAGAAAGGACTGCTGAGTGCCAGCAGTCCTTCCTTCCTGGACAAAGTGACATTGAAGTGAATGAGATTGCCGACGAGTTTGCTCGAGGCTCACAGTCGTCCAACCGTCCGATTGAGAGATCTGTGAAACCTCTGCGGTGTAGTCGGCAACAGATGGTTGAGAGAACCTGCTTGCAGAATTTCAAAATCTATCTGGCCTGAATTCTCTCGCAAAAAAACGTCTTCGCTGCTGACACACAATAAGAGGGAGATCAAAATCGTTGTGTGGATCATAGCAGGTCACTGCAAGATTAGATCTCTCACTTCGAAGTGGGACTCCAGTGGAAATGATTACTGTCGTCTATGTGATTACGTAGAAGAACTAAAAACAGTTGAACATATCCCCTGTAAATGTCCATCGCTGATTAGCAGAAGACATACACAGTTTGGAATATATAAGAAAATATTATTTAAGCTATGTCAAAAGCCAGGGATCTGGTTTGGGTCTATCTTGGTGACCTTATTAAAAGATCTTGGCACTGGTGCAGGCGTTTACTGTAGGGAATTAGAAACATATAACTCATAAACTTAACATTCTTTGTAGCGTTTTTCAAGCAGAAATCCTTGTAATCACGAAAGCGGCCGAGTGCTATATATGTCGATAGTCAAACGGCCCTTAAAGCGGTGAAGTCCCGTACTATAAACTCAAAAGCAGTTCATGATTGCAAGTTCGGAATATATAAGAAAATATTATTTAAGCTATGTCAAAAGCAAGGGATCTGGTTTGGGTCTATTTTAGAGAAGAAGGCTAGGTTGTCAATATCATATCCATACACTATACATCATGCCGTATAGCATTTATCATAGTATGTGTTATTTTTTGACAGCCCTACCTAAAATTCAACTATCTCGTTCGACATTTTTCACCACAAAAGAAGAACACATGTATTTATATTAATGTTATTCAACTATGATAGAACGTATTTTTGTTTTTTCATTTGTTGAAAATAAGAAACATGAACATAAAGGAAATATGCATTTTTCAATAAGAATATGACATAATTGTACACATTTTATAATTTTTCAAGTTTATTTCTCGATTTCGTTTAGCTCGCTAAGAGATGTGGACTCGAAGAATTTGGGTAATACGGTCGTACAAAACATTTCGACATAGTGGGAAAGTTGAATCAAAATAGTTTTGATTTTGAAAATGAAACCCTATCATCTGGAGAATAGTATTCATTTTTAAAGTTTTCAGTAAATAATTTTATGTACAAAAATAATAGAATTGTGACGTAATAAAAAAACAACTGAATTTACGACTCGAAATGCAATTTTTGGGACAAAAATCGATTTTTTGGAATAGTCATTGAAGAGTTTGCCATACACTAGTCAATCTCACACATACACAAATCGGTTCATCAGCATAGTGTATGGGACCCTTTAATTTGATAGATGAATTCCAAATTGAAAAAGTTGCCATTATTAATTGCTCAAATGAGACTACCTTCTCTCATTATGCCATGCACAATTACAAAGCCATACAACTATATTAGTTAATATTCTTTGATTTAATTTTCAAATATTGATTTAAAATAACTGGAAATATTATATTTCCTTGGACAAGAAGAAAGGTTTCATTCCAATTGGAAAAGGTTTCGTTTAATTTGCAAAAGGTTTCATTTAATTGGGAAAAGGTTTCGTTTAATTGAGAAAAAGTTTAATTTAATTTGTAAAATGTTTAATTTATTCTGGAAATGCTATATACAGGAAACATTAAGAGTAATTTGATACTAAAAGTATTAGTCGGCATTTATATTATAAATTCGACAAAAACATAATGGGCAGAAATATTTTGGTTAGTTTTCATATATACATACAAAATAGGAATTTATAGTACGTTTACATTTAACCGGATTTCGTTAACCCAGTGGGTTTCAATTGTCAATTCCTTTGCATATACGTCAAATAAATCCTCATAAAGTAGGTTAACCCGGTAAAAAGTTCTAATGTACAAGGAGTTTTATGGATTTCATTCATTTTTATACAAAGAAGAATATACTGTTGAAGAAAAATTTTATTACTCGGCTCTTCTTCTAACGTAGGCTATGTATGCTATAGCACTCCCGTCATTCTGAAGTTGTTTAACAACTTTACTTATTGTTTATTTTACAACAATTTAATTTGTTTTATTGTTAAAAATTCTAGAAATTCGTACAAAAAACTTTTTCTAATAAAGGACATAAACGCGGAACAAGTATTTGTATGTTTTGTGTCAAACAGTGATAAATAATTTTGCTTAATTTTGTTAAAATTCGTAGTGATTTTTATCATATTTGTGTAATAAGTAAACAACAGTGGTACAGTGTATTTGTGAAAAGTGGAATACTAATTCAATTTGTGTTTATTAAAAAGAGAAGTGAATTCCCTTTTGTCTGCATATAATCGATCTGTTTTCAGTGTTTACATTTTTGTTTTCTTACACTGACGTTCGTTATTGTAGTTGTTGTAAATTATTTTTCTGCTTATTTCGTAGTTTGACGTTGTAATTTAACATTTTGTAACATACTTTTAGGCGTATATAATTAAATTGGCAATACCATTTTTTTCTTTTTTCATCAAATAATTTTTTAAATAATCTTGAGCATATTTTTAGTCATTATTTAATAATGGATTGTCTGTATAAGGATTGTAACATTACTAGCCTGACTGAACGTCTAATAACTTGTTGGCTATGCGAGAAACATGCACATTTTAAATGTGCTGGTTTCAATGGCAAACAGTTTGAACTAATAACAAATCGGGACAAAGGTCTTCGCTGGGCTTGCATCGATTCTAGGTCCCTAGAAGTCGATTTTTATCGTCTATTTAGGGCAGCTATAATCGAAATAGCAGCAGTGAAGAAGGATTTCGAAGCAGTACAATCAAAATTTGTTAATTTTGAAAAAATGTTTGCAAAGTTTGAATACGTTGATGGTTCACCAAAGAGGAAGAAATCATCAGCTATTGCTAACGGTGAAAATTTAATTACATTAAATTCACCGATGGTGGTTCCGCCACGCAAGATTGCTGAGAATGATTCCTCGGAAAACCAATTAGCGGTCCCCGCGCTGTATTCATCAGAACCTATAAATATACATAAAGTTAATACTGATAGTACTTCGATCGAAATTCAGTCTTCAGAGACTCATGTTCCATTAAGTACAAAAAGGTCTTCTACCGTTCAGCCAATAGTCGTTGGATCAGCTACAGTTCCTCCATCTATAATAGTAACTGAAACTTCTCCTCCTTCTACCAGCAATGAACTAATAGTAGTTGCTCCTAGAAGAAGTATATTTATTTCAAGACTTCACTGTAATACTACAGTGGAGAATATTATAAACTACATACAATCTAAAAAACTAAATTTAAGTAATACCGATTACAAAATTTTTAAATTTAAATCTTCAGCTCAACGGGAAATATCTTCTTTTAAAATTGTTGTGCCGTCAAATTTATTTAAAGACTTAAAAAATAGATCCTTTTGGCCTGATGGTGTTTTAGTAAAAGAATTTGTATATAGGGAACGAAATAACCCAGTAAATCTAGAGGCTATTCCCCCTGTGTCGCCTGCCTCAAAAAACTAATAAAACCTTTAGCTATACTTTACCAAAATGTAAGAGGTCTTAACACTAAGCTTAAAAATGTTTATTTAAAGTCTTTTGGCTGTGATTACAAAATTCTTGTTTTCACTGAAACTTGGTTAAAACCAAATATTGGTGACGCAGAAGTTTTGTCTGATCAATATCAAACCTATAGAACTGACAGAGTAAATAAATCTGGTGGGGGAGTTCTTATTGCTGTGCACAACTCCATAGCCTCAGAGCGTATTCCTACGGATAATTCCATTGTTAAATTTGTTTGTGTCAAAATA